AGAGGAGAGGAGGGGGGATCCTTGGGCTTGCTGAAGCCTTGCTCAGGCGGCAGGCAGGTGTGGAAGACCAACAGCTTGATCTTGCGTCTAGCCCCAGCCACCGGCAGCCTTGTCCCAGTCCTGAGCATTTAGGAAGGTCCAGGCTGGCTAGCTCATGTCTTCCCTACACACCTGCCTACCCATCAGCCTGCCCCTTGATTGAGGGAACCATAGGGAACCAAAAACAAAGGCAGATGTGAAGGTCCATTTCCCAGGGCTCCCCAACTGTCCCTCCCTATGGCTGGACTGGCCAGAGAAGGCTCTCCCACTCCCACTGCTTTCTTTCTGCCTCTAGGGACTTGGCAATCCCACCTGGAAGGGATGGCCAAGGGGGAGAGGTCTATGCTGCCCACCGCACTGAGATGCTCCCTGAAGCACCCTACCAGCCTACTCCACCTTGGATTCCCAAACCCTTCCTGACTCTAGCAGTCCGAGTCCAGGGCCAAGGCCAGGACCAGGCAGGGCAGGTGGCTGGGGGATCAACAGGGAAGGGGAGGTGTGGGCTTCTGCTTGCATCAAGGCACCCTGATGCGCCCCATATTTAGCTGACTTTTATTGACATCCGAGGCCCAAGGGTAGGTTGTGGGGCCATACGCTGTCAGACAGAGAGAAGTCCCAGGCAGTGGGTGTCTGAGGCTGGCAGAGGACCACTAGTCAGAGCTGGTGACCTTGCAGCCCCTGTCTTCAGCCTCTGCCTGCTGGATCCCTCTTGAAGCCCTGGAAGGCCCTCATTTGCTTTCTAGTCTTCCCAGTGTCCTCCCAATAACCCCCGAACCCTGTACGAGCGAGCTGGCAGCCCTAGGCCAGGGGACTGTATAAAGCCCTCTGGGGAATGCTGAGAAGAGATTTCCTCATCCAGCATTCACTGTCTGTGGGCTTTAGTCAAGGCACCAAGTCTACCAAGTGTGGGTGCCAAAGGAATCAGAAAGGACCACAGTGGATGGTGGCTGACCATGATGCAAGGTTGGTCATGTGAGAGCCAGAGGCAGGGAGCACCCCTCCAAGCGGAGGTCTGAGAAAGCTTTCTGGAAGAAGGTGTCTGCGTGTTTGATCTTCATGACTAGGTAGGACTGGGGCAAGTGCAGTTAGGGAAGGCTGGACAGGTGTTCTTAGTAGAGGGAACAGAGGTGCTGAGGAGAAGAAGTGTGTCCTAGAATCCCGAGTTAATCAGTTTGGCTGGAATGGATATTATGGGTAGTGGTCCAGAGCTGGGATGCCAGGCTAGGGTGCTCTGTGTTCTGAAGGCCATGTAGGACTAGCAAAGTTTGCAGGGCTTCATTCACGCTATAGCCTATGGAGATTGCCAGACACTGTTCTTGGGGGCTGTTATTAGCCTAGACTATAATGACCCCGGGGCCCTTGGAGTTGTGTGTTGCAGCAGCCCAGCTGCAAAGGGATGTGGGCAGGGCTGCCCTGAGCCGTAGCTATCAGGCTGCAAGATGGAATGCCAACTCGGTCGGTGGCAGCGTGAATAATTTCAAGACCAACCCCCTGACTGGTATTCTGCTATCATGCAATCAACCAAGATGTTCATTTCCCATTCTCTTAACTAAGACAAACAGCGTCCTCACCTGAATACTGTCAATCCCCGCCCCCTACCGCACGATCAATCATAACACCTCCATCATCACCCACAGTTCCAACCTGAGCCCAATGACCACAAAACCCAAGACCTAGCACCATCACCAATACCATCTGCATCCTTCCCATACATGTCGTCGTCATCAATAAGAACATCAACCAAGCCCCGCCATTCCCCCCATCAAGGGCCATCACCACTGAGCGGGGCACAGGGCTGGCACGCTCCCCTTGCTGCCAACCAGGTTGAGGGAAGAGATGGGCTGAAAGGGGGACTATCCAGGCTGTAAGTTTACTCTGGCCATGCCCTCCCCACACAGCTGTGATCATTTGAGTGTAAGAGGCTTGGTGGTCTAGTCTGGTTTTTGCTTTGATATTTAAAGTGGATTATGACCAAGTCAAGAGGTGACTGTTGAATTCCAGACCAGGCTGGGGTGATATCATGGGTACTATCTTCAGGACTGTAGCCAGGGCCTAATAAGTCCCCTACAGTGCTTGCTCTCTCATACCTTCTCCTTGGGGTTTCTGGGGGCCTGTGGAACTTCAGGCCAGAGTTGACCCGAACAAGAACTCAAAATCCTACAGGACACCCTCAGCGCCACCCCTACTTCTTCTAGGCCCTGGCTGCTTGGTGTCTGCCAACAGTGGGCCTAAACACGATGCTAGGTCACGAATTTTCCTAGGGCCCCCATCCAGCTCCACCTTCGCCCCCCAGAATTCAGGTTTGTTTGGAGATATGCCTGGGGAGAGCCACCAGGTAAGCTGGTCTGACAGAGAACTGGAGCAAAAGGGATAGGCAGAGCCAACTTCCTGTTTGTCCTACAGAATACGGTCTCTAACCCAGACATCTTCATCACTCTTGTCCTGAGTGGTGTCCTCAGTTCTCAGAAGCCTACCAGAAGCATGCAACAGGATCAGGGAGAACAAATAAAGGGGACCAGGTGTCCTCTGTCAGCCTGAGTCATCCCAGCCTGCACCTGCTCACACCATGAGGAGGGTCTGAGTGGCCAGCGCCATGCTATGACTCAGCCCTTTTCTGAGGCAGATGCTTCACAGGCATGGCTTCTAGAAACCAGTTTCTTTAGTGGAGGGTGGGTGAGTGCCTCAAGGCATTGATACAGCAGGCCTGAGAGCGGGGCTGCCTGAGGCTTTCTGTCAGAACCATTAAGCTGGGAAAGGGCTGGACAGGACATGGCCCCTGCCTTTGTCCACCCTGAATGCTTTCCACATGGTCATGGAAGAATGGTGCCTCCTCCCACAGGAAAGTCAAGCTACAACCTTGCCAAGTCCCTGGTTCTCTTCTTCCCCAACCCTCTCTCGCTATTTCATGCCTTTCGCTACCGTGCACCTCGCTGGATGGAGGAGATCACTTCAGCAATGCTTTGGTGAACAGCGCATGGCCCAGTTGCGTTGCTACCTGGGAGAGACCTCCCCAGCACAGCGCTACTCAAAGTGTGGTCCGCGGACCAGCAGCAGCAGCACTCCCCCCGGGAGCCTGTTAGAAATGTAGACTCTCAGCCCCCAGACCCACTGAACTAGAAGCTGCATTCTACCAAGATTCCCAGGCGATTCATCTTCCTATGAACGACTGAGAAGCTGTGTAGTGATTAGGGTTCATACCCTTCACTGCCCCCTTGGCGGCTGCATGGCGTTCAGCAGAGATTCAATCTCTCTGGACCTCAGGGGCTTCGTCTGTAAAACGAGGATCATGATACCAATCACTCAGGGAGGTTGAGAGGATCCAATGGACTGAGGTTTGTACAGTAGTTCAGCCCAAGACCCAGCATATGATCTCCCAGCATATACTCACAGAGGGAAGATTAGTCGTCTGTTCAAATACGAAGAGTGTGTTTTGTCACGGAAAGATTCTACTTGGCTAATCACGAGAAGTTTCTCTATTTCTCCATGAGGGCCCACTTGAGGTCCTGGGTAAGGCTTCCTTCAAATCCAAGGGCACGTCACTCAGATCCTGCTGTCTCTGCCAGGAGGCGCTGGGAGGCTGGGTGACTGAATTCTCCCGGCCTCCACTCCCTAAGCTATTGAACGGAGCCGATCATCAGAGGACTGGAGTGAGAAATTAAAGACATGTGCCTGGCAGGTGGTACGAGTTCAGCGAATGAATTGCAGAACACGGGGGAGGTCATTTCCATGGGCAGGAGCTGCATATCTTGCTGCCGTTGTTTTGAGTGCAAATCTTCATCCAAAGACCCCAAGGAGCAAAAAATGTGCATGTCTTTGCTTTCCTATAATTTGATTTTTATTCTCTGCCCTGCTTCACAGAGATGGCAGAAATCAAATCCCATCACCCCAGGCTCTGATGCTTTTCTTTTGTCTGGATGGGCTGGGGGAAAAGGCGCTTACAGAGTGGGGTGGGGCATGTGGGTACTTGGTCCTTGGTGCTGGTCTGCCCGGGCTGACATCTGCTGGGATATTCCCAGCCCACGTGGTCTCGTGCTGGTGACACCGCAGAGCAGCCACTCTCTCGTTCCCAGTTATAAGGCCTCTCAGCTGTGCGGGCACTCAGGACCATGTCCATGACTCTCGGGGGTGTGGGGGAAACCCTCTATGGGCGCTAGGTCACATGCTGGCCTGGGGATCTTTGGGCTGTCTTGGGTCTGCCAGCCTCTTCACCATGGGGTCCTGCTATGTCCCCAGGGTTTATCCAGAACAGGAACATGGCTCCCTCTCTCCTTGAATCCCCTTTGCCACATTGTCCCCTTTCTTGTTCTGATGCCCTGGACTTGCCTGACATGGTAGCTTTCGTCCATCTTCCAAATGCATTCGGGGGCCTGAGTCATCTGCGGCCTGATGTCCAGGCTCTCACAACTCCACAGTCGAAGCCCTGGGCCTGCACACGTCTTACCTCTGCTTTGTGCCTTGTCCCATCCCTTCTCAGGCACAATGCATGCCTCTGACTAAATGGGGAAGGGCAAAATGGGAAGGAAAACAGGATGGGTGAAGAAATTTGGTTGGTAATTCAATCTACTTTCCCACAACACTGTGTTTTTGTTGTATATACGGAGAAAGACAAGATAGGAAGTACACAGAAATTGGGAGCAAGGGGTGTGTGGAAACTAGCCAGACTTGAGAATATTTTTGATGTGACTGTGGACCTTCAAGTACTCTGAGCCCTTCCCTCTTGGGTCCTGGGAGGCTCCTTCCCTGAGCCTGGAAACACGCCTTCTGGTAGATTCTACCCTGTTTGCAGTATGGATGGTGCCTTCCGCCCAGCCTGCCTCTGCTGCAAGCACCATCCCCATACAGCAGGACCCCCCTGACCTGTTGTCTTTCTCGGTCCTGCCTCACCAGCATGCCTATTGCGCATGCTCCAGTGTATACGGGATGCCCTTGACCTGTTGTCTTTCTTGGTCCCACCTCGTCAGCACCCCTATTGCGCATGCTCCAGTGTGTACCAGCCAGGCCGCCACCCCGCTGCTGCCCGCTTCCGCCCAGCCGCCTGCTGCTGCCCCTCCCGGGGCCGCCTCGCCACCCCTGAGTGCAGCCACTGCCCATGCTGCCACCGCCTCTGCCACAGCCCTTGCCTCAAGCCCTGCGGACAGTCCAAGGTAACTGGCCCCCCAGGTGCCGGCCGTGACCTCACGCGAGGGAGTCAGGAAAGGCTCAACCTGGGTCTACCTGTTGACAACTGTGTCCAGCCCTTGGAAAGGCTCGTCCAAGGTGGTTAGGACTCTGGGTCCTTGGGAAGCCAAACCTAGCACTGACTGGTGCTGAGCGTGAAGGGCAGACCCTGGGTCCCTGCAGGAGAGCACACTATGTGGGTCAGGACAGAGACAGGGACATGCTGCCTTGACCGCCAGCATGTGTTCTGAGACAGCGATAAAGTCTCTCTCTCTCTCTCTCTCTCTCTCTCTCACACACACACACACACACGCAGGTAACAGAGGCCTGGAACTGGGATAAGGGGGAGAATGGAAATTGTCCCTGTGGTCTGGGGAAGTCAAGGAAGGCTCTCTGGAGCAGAGGTAGTGTTGACCTGGGCATGTCAGGTCTGGGCAAATATTTAGCAACTAACATGCCCTCTTTCTTTACCTCTTGATAGAAAGCATGCTAACTCCAGAGGCAGCCCATGTCATGGGACTTAAGTCTCTGCTCCACCACTGCAGAAAGTGACTTCATTTCTCTGAAGCTTATTTCCTCACCTGCTAAGATACTTAATACAATGTCTTTTTTGAGGGTTGGGACAGAGAAAAGAGTGCATAAATCACCTAGCACATAAAATGCTCTCAAGTATTTCAATCTGACCTCCTGGATACCTGACAAAGGTTGGGGTGAGGATGGGGCAATGGGAGTTGCAGTTTGTAAAGGGTAAAGGGGGTTGCGGGGAGGTGGAGGGGGTAGGCCAGATGAGTCATTCTAGCATGGTCAGGCTGTGTAACGGCTGGACAGGCCCAACTCTTCCTGGGGCGGAGGAAGCTGTCAAGTAGGTGTCTGGGGTCAGAGCCAGCTTTCCCAGCTTTCCATGTTCCCCTCCCAGGGTTTTGCTGGAAAGGTCATGCCTCTCTGGGTTAGGATTCATAGGTCCCTGGCTTGAGGCAGGATGAAGGGTGGGCGGAGTGGCTTGCAGACCTGTGTGCTGCCCCCCTGTCCCAGGCTTCACAAGGACCTAGGTGGTGCCAGGCCCAGCCTTTGCTCAGCCCAGCTCAAGTCTCAAGGGTGAGCCCACTCTGGGCCTCCAGGGTTTGTTTTATTCCAGCTTCCTGGGGTCACTTAGCAAGTTGCTTCCCCTCTGCACACAGAATCTCTTCAGGTAAGGACACAAAGACACTTTGAAGAGGGTAAGAAATGTCTCCGTTGTTAAGTGGGGAGATGCCTCCCTGGCTGGATGGAGGAGCTCCAGACGCTGGGGCCCTGGTTAAGTGTGAGCTCCAGCACTGTGCTTCGGGCCTCCGTGTCATCTGTGTCCTGGGGCCCTCAGGGCTCCCTCCACAGGACAAACCCTTCCTTCCTTTGCCTTGCAAAGGGAGATGAGGCCTAGGTAGAGGTCAGAGAGACAACTGGAGGGCTCCCAGCATCAGGCCAGAACAGAAAGGACTAAGGAACCACACTCTGAGCCCAAACACCTCCCCTTCTTGCCCAAGGGTAGATGGAGCTAGAGGGAGCCAGTGGGAGGCGAATGGACACCCCAACCTTCCTTGGCATGGCCTTAGAATCCTTGCTGGATGGTTTAAGCCTCTGCTTCCTTCCCTAGTACCAATCCCTGACACAGGACCTTTAGCTCTGGGATGCTGGGAAAGCTTCCTCCACTGCTGGGAGAGCCTGGCTAAGCCCCACTGACCCTAGGCCTTCCACTGCAGTAGAAGCTGGGCGCCCCTGGGACACTGCCTCTTCCTCTTCCTTTGAGGCCCCTACTCCACTGTGGCGTATCAGAACAGGGCAGGCAGGCCATGGGAGGGAAGACAATGGCCTCACCCAGTCAGCAACATGGTAACTTGGCACGGTAAGTCTGCACACCCCCCTCATCTGGGACACTGGCTGTCTGAGGCTCATTCTACCTCCATACCCTCTGGAAAGGAACATACATGCTTCCGGATCCACTCAGGAGCTCAGGGGTGGGTGCTTAGCTCAGAGCCCTGGAGAAGATAGTTTCTTATCCTTTGACTCTGCCCAGCACCTGGGTCCATCGGGAACATTGGAAGGAAGGCAGGAAACCAGGGGCTGGGGGGCAGGGACATATTAGCAGGGGTTCACTTCTCTAGCATCCCCATCAATGACCCATTTGCCCTGGGGACCCATGGTCCCCAGTGGTATCTGAAAGATGTAGGGAGAGACGAAGGATGTGTTCAGTAAGGTATTCTTGAGTTTAAAAAAAAAAAAAAGTGGGGGGGCAGGTTGTTCACTGACAAATGAAACTGGGAAACACTGGATGAGACAAAGTTGAACGTGCTGCTTAACTCCAGTTGTTGGAACTTTTAGCTCTTCAAGGGGAGAATCCAAGGACAGCATTTCCTGAGGGCAACGAACTGGGGCACTTTCCCCCCTTCACTGAGGTCCCATGGTTCCTGGGTCACAAGTGGGAAAAGGCTGCTTTAGGCCCCTTGGCAGCTAACTCAGTGGGAAGAAGGCAACAGGAATTCTGTAAAGAGATGTCTGTGTGCGTGTGTTTTTTTGGGGGGGCACCCTGGAGCACCCAGAAACCTGAGACTTGGCAGCTCCTTCCAGCAATGCGGGAAGGGGAATGGGGAGGAGGTCAGTGGTTTGAGGCTGTGCCCCAGAAGGTCAGAAGGTTGAGGGAGAGGGGTAGCTCTGACCACCTCATCTGTCTTCCTCTCTCCTGCTACTGCCCCCTCTAGCCCTGGCCCCACCCTGGAAGTCTCTCCCCAGGTAGTAAAGGTTTTCTGTGTGTCTCTCTGGCAAGCTGGTGATTTTCCTCCCTCTCTCCTAAGGTGATAGCACTAGCAATGGGCTGTATTGCTCTCACCAGGCTCACAAACACTCAGCCCCCATGGAGCCGCTTCTTCCCTGCAAAGACTGCCATGGTCTTTCCTTTACAGCCTCTGGCAACTCCGGGACGACTTCTGTCAGGTTTCCTCCTCACAGAAGCTCCTGAAGATGGGGGAGACAGCCTGCCAGGACTGCAGGCTCCAGGGCCTGGGTAGGACTGTGCTTCTCGCTGCTAACTCCTCCCCCCCTTGGTTCCAGGCCCCAGGCCTCTGCCTACAGTCCCGCCAAGGCGACCTCTCCAGCACCTGCCACTCATACATACAATGAGGCCTCAGCTGCCCCTGCGCCCAAGCCCCGGGTTGTCACCACCGCCAGCATCCGGCCTTCTGTCTACCAGCCAGGTGAGAGGCAGAATGGAGGGGAGGCTGTCAGGCTGGATGTGGCTTCTAGGCTACATCCCCAAAAGGTTGGTGGCCAGTGAGGCCCTGCCAAGGAGGCTCAGCCCTCCTTCCTCCAAATGTGGGGCAGAATCCTATGGAGCCTGCCTCTGGCCCTGGGCAGACAGGTATGCCATGCCAGCCAGGGATGGAGCCGCCCAGCTCTCAGGAAGATCCTGGTCCTGGCTGGGGATTTCCAGGCTCAAAGTGAAGGAAGAGAGCTTGTTTCTCCAGGAGTGTGGGTCTGGTTCAAGCTGGAAGACAGGCAGGTATAATGAAAATGCTGTGGGCTCTGGACAGACCTACTGAATCATGCTGTGACCTGGGGCAAGCTGCTCATCCTGTCTGGTCTTTGGTTTCCTCAGCTGAGGCAGGGTAGTGGAGGCCCAGAGAGCACCCGTGATCAGCAACAGAATGGCTGGCACAGGGTCAGCGGGCCGCAGAGCTCACTCGGCTATCTGTTCCATCGCTCTGGTCCCCGCCCTTTCACAGTGATGAGGACTCAGCGCTATGTCTCCTCTTCCCTTGGTAAAGTTTGTCCTGCTCCCCAGAGCCTGCGGGCAATTCTCAGTTTTGCACCTCACCGCCCGCCCCCTGCCTACCTGCCCCCTGCCTGCCCCCCTGCTCAGTGAAGCTGAGGGCTCTTTAGCCGCCATCTCCCTGGGCTGGGGGAAGGTCCTGTGTGCCCTGGTCTAGTGGTTATGTCCACAGGAGGGCTTTGGGCATCTACAGCCGTCCAGGGCTGACATCACCATCCCCTCCTTCCATCTGGATTCTGACTCTGAACTCGAGGAGGGCAGGGCTGTGGAGATTTTCTTCACTGTCTCCCCAGCACCTGACTCAGGCCTGGCACGGAGGAGGAGCTCAGCGAAGGTAGTAGATGAAGGAATAAATGAATGAATGAATGCTGGTAAGGACTTTAAGCCAGGGGTAAGGAATGGCATGGAGAGAGGCGGTGACCTGTGCACTCTGGTGACTGAACACAGGGGTCATGGGTCACAATGGTTCCCATGGCGGGCCCATGCCAGTTCCATGGATGGCTGAGATAGGATTTGAGGTGGGTACACACTTTTCATTTAAAGCATTATACTTTCAACATTTTCTCTTCACAGCCATCGTGACCATAAAAATTCTAGCAATAATGACATTTTCCACTTGTAATAATATCCAAACTGTTCCCCTCCCCCTTCCAAGTTATTACACCCACACCTTTTTCACACATGGGAACCGTGATGGGGTGAGGAAGTTAAGGACATGTTTGGGAAAGAATCGGGTAGCTAACTCTAAGGGGATGGGAGGGGGCTTCTCTTTATCACCCAAGAGAGGCAGAGTTGGCCAAGAAGTCATGAGGTCGAGTCCCTACTGGGGAGTAAATCCTGTTAAGGAAAAGGAGAAACGCAGAGAGGATCCTGCATGGGCGGTTAGGGGAGGTCAGACAGGGACTGAGCAGAAAGGGCCTGGCTGTGTGGAGCTAGGCTTGAGGTGCAGCGCCGCCGAGGAGCCGTCATCAGCCCTCCTCCTGTAAAGCTCGCTCTGCCGGCGGGGTTGAGTGTGGACGGCAGAAGCCGCTTCAGCATCTGGCAGGCCCCGGTGCGGGGGTCGCTCTGCCTCCTCCAAGGCACAGCCCTTCGTCTCCGCAGCCTGAGTTCCCCGCTCTGAAAAATGGGCGCGCAGCTGTGTAGACCTCGTATTCTGGGGACGAAATGAAGCACCCAGCCGAGTACTTGGCACACTGGAAGCGCCCTTCCCTGTCCTTTCAGACGCAGGGACACAAAGTTCTGAGGTTAGAATCCACAGGATTAGGGAGCAATTCGGAGCTGGCTGCCGTGGCGAAGCTCTCCGGGGGAGCTGGAGGACGCGGCTGCCCTGCGCAGACCGGGACCACGGCGGGCAGGGTGGAAAGGGGTTTGGGGCAGCCGCGGCCGGCTGAGGCGAGGCTCTGTCCGCGCGCCAGGAGCGCATTTCCGTCCCGGCCCGGGCTCCCTTGCCAGGCGGGTCCTCCCGGCACCTTCCGGGGCGGACCCGGGCTTCGGCGCCCCCGCTCCGGGCGCCGGCTCTCCTCCGCAGGTCCGCCAGGGGGCGGCACGGCTCCGGGGGCGCCCGCCGCCTGGCCCCCAGCCCGGCGCCCCTCTGCTCCATCCCGGGCTGGGGCCCAGGCGGGCGAGACGTGCCGGAGCCCCGGGCGGCGGCCTCCCTGCGCGGCGTTCCCAGGCGGTGCAGACGTTAACTCATGCCTGCCCGCGGGGAAGGAGGCGACCGGCCTCCGCCCCTCTCCCGGGGAGGCTGGGCGGCTGGCAGGCGGCCCGGGGAGAAGCAGGGAACGCGGGCCCGAGCCGCTCCCGTCCTCCGCGGACCCAGGCCGGGCCGCAGCTCCCCCGCGGGACTCCTCTGGGCCGAGGGTGACGTTCGCAGCCCGCTGCCATCGGTGGCGCCGGGGCTGGGCGGCCGCTCCCCGGAGCACCTGGGGCCCGGGAGGCGGCCGGGGAGGCCTCGCCGTGGGCGGAGGGGCCTAGAGCGGGCCGGGGGAGGCCACGTCGGCCCGCGGGCCAGGCGGGGGCCTGCGCTCGCGGGGAGCCGGGCCGACCTGGAATGAGTCAGAAATCACCTTGTTTAATTACACATTCCCGAGGCCGCCAAGTGCGATAGGGGCCTTTTGAACTTGCCAATTAGAGATGAAATATCACCTTCTAATTTAGACGGGCTTAATTCCGTCAAGCAGAAATAGCAACAGCCCCGGGCTCGGAGATGGGATATCAGGTCTCCCTCCTGGCACGTGTGGGGTGGCGCGGCCAGAGCCAGGAGGAAGGGCGCAGAGGGAAGGGGACAGGGAAGCCGCCGCTCCTCGCGCTCCCACTCTCACCCTGCTAGAGTTGGGGGACGCGGTGTGGAAGTGGGGAGCTGCCGGCCTGCGCCTCGGGAAACGGAAGGTCCCTAGGGCAGCCCCCCGGGGTCCAGATTCTGGCAGGCCTCTGACCTGCTGAGACTTTCCCCAGGGCTTAGAAGACGGGGCTGGATCAGGGAGTCTGGAAGGCCTTCCGGAGGAGGGAAGAGAACATCTGCCAGGCAGAGGGAATGGGGTTTGTGTTGCTGGAGGGAAGCACGAAAAGTGGGCAAGGGCCCGAGTTGGAAGGGGCGTGCTAAAGCCTGTTTGGCTGCTTAGGGAGTGGTTAAGCAGGGGATCTGGAGTTGAGTCCGGCTGCCCGAGCTCCCTAACTTTGCAGTAATCACTTAGACTCACCAAGCTTCAGTTCTCCACCTGTAAAATGGGCTAGAAAATATTCTCTGCCTCTCTGGCTTGCAGTGAGATTTACATGCATTAATACACGTAAAGAGCCGGCCTGGGAAAGCAATCTGTACCAGGTAGCCACTGTGCTGATGAGTGCAGCACCGTCCAATAAAAATAAATTTTCTAGTTAGCCACATTTTTAAAGGAAAAGGAAGCAGGTGAAAATAATGTTACCACATTTTATTTATCAGTATATTCAAAACATCATTTCAATATATATTCAATATAAAATAATGATTAATGAGATATTTATATTCTTTTCTTGTGCTAAGCCCTGAAATCTGGTGTGTATTTTACATTTATAGCACTTCTCAATTTGGATTAGCCACATTTCAAGTGCTTACTGCCTCCTAGGGCTGTGCACTGGCACAGGATTAGGGCTTTGTTCTTAATCCCTTTCAGCAGAGATTCCCCCACTTTAGAAAAAAAAAAGCAGGGGGCAAAATCTTGCTTAGAACCCCATTATATATAATAGAGAGGGATGAAGCTGCTCTGAAGATCTGCTAGATGACCTCTCCGCACACCCCTCCCTGGTGGCATTCCCCTCATCACCCCTGCCCCAGCACTTTGAGACGCTCTGCTCTGGGCACTTGGCTGCTATGCAGGGTTGTTAGGAAGGGGGGCAACACACAGAATCTGGGCTTCACAGATTTGCACAGTGCATGCATCGTGTCTCCCCAGGAGGTCCCCACCACTCCTTTTGAGGCAGACAGGGGCATCATACTTTCTACCACTGGTGATAGACTCAGTCCCAGGTTATCTGATTTCAGGGCATCACATCTCCCTTCCCCACCCGCAACATCCCACAGTTTCCCTAGACGGGTTCCCTCAGGTGACCATCAGGCAGTAAGCTGAGCTGACAGTTCACCCAGACCCTGAGACCCAGAAGTCACCACCCTCACTAACGTGAAATGATGCATGCACTGTGCCAGGCACTAGGCTGAACACTTTATTTTTCTTGTCCCCTTGAAACCTCATAACCACCCTGTGAGGCACTAAGAATTATTAATGCCATTTTTAAAAAAGGACATTCAGGCCCAGAGACGGTAAGGAACTTGTCCAAGGACACACAGCCAGGATGTAGTAGTGCTGGGACTTGAACCTAGAGCTCTCAATGGCTATGCTACATGCCAGAGCATGGGACCTCCTTCAAGTTGATAGTTACTCCTCAATGACGTGGTGCACCAAGATTTTCTGGAATTAGACTTGTATTCTTTACAGAGGCAGCTTGGGGTAATAGAATGGTTTTGGACACTCACTCTGCCACTTACTGGCTCTGTCTGAGCCTCAGTGACCTCAACTATAAAGAGGACTAAACCAGATGACTTGTTATGTGCCAAGCCTGCTCCCTTAGTAAGTGAGAAGAAGATTGATTCCTTTTGGAGAGGGTTTTACTTTTAGGAGCCAGCATCACTCCCAACATGGCTCCAAGGCAGGGCTGTGGAGGATTTTACCCCTTCCCCTTTCAATAACACAGGCCTGCTCCCTCCCTCCCAGCACTGGGGTTCCTGTGTTACCCAGCACTGAGGGGCCAATCATCTGGGAGTAGAACAATAGAATTGGAACAGCATGCCACAGGCCACCCAAGGTGGGCCCGGAGAACCAGCGGGGAGAGACCAAAGGCCAGGTGGGGAACTTTAGCCCTGAGGAAGACCTTCCTTTCTGGGCTGGAAGACGAGGGGGGCTGTGTCAGCACCCCTCAACGTAGTCCATCCACCTAAGCAGGCTCAGAAATGGAGGCAGGCTGCCCCAACTTGCTTCCCAGGATGGGAGGAATGAGGCCTCTTTCCAGAGGCACAGACTGTGAGCTGAGGTGAGGCTTCTGGAGCCTCCCTGGCTAGAAGATGAAGCCGGCTGGAATGTGTGTGCAGGATCCCCAGCGGGAGGGCCGCAGAACTTGGAGACCTAGGTTTTGAGAGTCTGTGCCTCAGAAGGCTTTGGGTGAGCAGCTGCCGTGCCCCTTTGTGTTGTCTCCGAAAAAGGGTTTTAGCTCAGGGAGAGCTGGAGGAAGTGGTTCTGGAATTGAGACGGTGTATTCTCTTGCATTCTTTCATGGTAATTTCACGTGCTCTCAGACATACTGTGTTTCCCCCGAAGTGGTGTAGGGGAGCATGGGCCTTCCAGAGTCAGCCACAGACTGAGGGAGCAGCGAGACCTGGGCCGTGTCTCCCCAATATCTCTGCCCAGGTTCCCTCTGAACGGCTCTCTCAAGAGACCCCCACCCCAATCAAACCAAGGGGGAATTTCCCCCAGCAAATGAAGCGACCGTGTTTTTTAAGAAAATGATTGTAGCTAAATGTGAAACCTGAACCCAAAAACCCAATTGCCCCATCATCTACTTTGTCCCCAAGCCTGGACTAGGGCCAAGTTCAGCAAACACATGTGAGAGAGGCATTGTGGATGTCAAATCCCTGGTCAGAGTGCAGCTGAAAGCATCTTCCAGTCAAGGCCAAGTTTGACCCCCTCCTACCCCCTTCCCGGCCCCGGGGACCCAGATAGGAGGCTTGCCTGGCACGCCTGCCACCCCCATTCCCTGTCTTTTGCAGGCTTCTGGAAGCCCAGGCCTGGCTGGGCCCCACCCCACACAGCTGCAGATATTTATAGCTCTGTCCCTTTCCCAGCCCTGTCCAGGCTCCCGAGGGCTCTGCTCTGGTTGCTCTTTATCTCCCTTGGCTACTTGCTGCAAACTCAAATCTGGGGCATCAAGAAGTTCAGGAACATGTCTTCCATCAAAATTGGAACTGCTCTAATATTAAAGTCACCTTTTACAGTTTTCTGGCTGGGCATGGGGGAAATTGGGGGAAATGAATCCCTGATACATTTTTCTTTGGCTGTTTTTGGCTTTGCAGTGCCGGTGTCCACGTACAGCCCATCCCCAGGGGCCAATTATAGTCCAGCCCCCTACACCCCCTCGCCTGCCCCCACCTACTCCCCTTCCCCGGCTCCAAGCTACACCCCCTCACCAGCCCCAAGCTATAACCCTGCCCCCTCAGCGGCCTACAGCGGGGGCCCTGTGGAGTCTGCCAGCCGTCCCCCATGGGTGTCAGATGACAGCTTCTCTCAGAAGTTTGCCCCTGGCAAGAGTACCACCTCCATCAGCAAGCAAACCCTGCCCCGAGGGACCCCTGCCTACACCCCTGCGGGGCCCCAAGCGTCTCCCCTGGCCAGGGGCATCGTTCAGCGGGCTGAGCGTTTCCCAGCCAGCAGCCGGACTCCGCTCTGTGGCCACTGTAATAACGTCATCAGGTATGGTCCCGCTGTGCCATGGAGCTGGCGCTCTGGGAGCCTGAGCGGGGGCGGGGGGTGCTTGTGCACCATCTGAACCCTGTGGTGGGTCAGGGGGTGAGAGGGAGGGCGGGGATAGGGAGAAGGCTTTCTACTGGGCAGCCTCAGGCTCCTCTGGCTTGCCACCTAGTCTGACCCTCTTTGAGCTTTGGCTTCCATACCTATGAGACAGCCACTTCCCTCAGGAGTCAGGAGAATTCCATGAGGTAAGTGAATGAAGCTCCCAGCATGGTGCCTGGTGCCAGGACCTCCCCCTTGGGCTAAGGCCGGGTTCTGGGAATCACAGGTCTTGTTGTTGGGTTTATTGGGCGTGTTGCAAGCTGGCTGACAGGGCTAGTTTTGACCCAGCTTTAGTTTAGGGTTCCTTCTGGGTCTTTCCACAGACAGGCCAGTGCTGCTCAGGGCTTTGGTGGGTATCTGCCACCCTAAAAGGAAAACAAGTCATTTCATGGATGTAGGTGACACTTGTTTGGACATAGTGTGTTTACAGGATATGTGTGTTGGGGAGGAGGGCGTATACATGCAATAAATATACTTTTACTTAAAAACAAAGTAACACATGCTCATTAGAGAATAATTAGAGAGTTCAGAAAAGTAAAAATTAAGATGTACAACATTTCGTCATAGTCCCACTGCTCTGACTGCCAACCTGGATCTGCGCTACCCTAGCTGTACTAGCACTATGGCCTTGAACCACTTACCTCTCTGTGCCTCAGTTTCCTAATCTGAAAGTGGGCACCATAGTCCTACTTCTTAGGATTGTTGTAAGCACCAAACAAGTTGATACACGCATTTCTTCTTAAATAGTGCCAGGCACAGAGTCAACACTCCGTAAACGTCAGCCATTGGCATGGTGGTCTTGGCTCTTCTTGTTACAACTGACTGGATAGCCTATAATACGCTTTCCTCGTCCCCTGCCGGTAGATATTTGAGTTGCTTCCCTGTTTCTCTTTAGTGTTATTGACGCAACAATGAATACCTTTTTGTGTAGAGTTTAGCTGAATTTCACATTAGTTCAGTAGAAGGGTTACAAAAGTGTTGGGGGTTCTGAAGCCCTGGGCCTTGAGCTTTTGGGCCCGCCTTAAGACGCCATTCTCTGCTTCCCCAGGGGCCCCTTCCTGGTAGCCATGGGCCGTTCCTGGCACCCAGAAGAGTTCAACTGTGCCTACTGCAAGACCTCCCTGGCGGACGTGTGCTTTGTAGAGGAACAAAACAGTGTGTACTGCGAGCGCTGTTACGAGCAGTTCTTTGCCCCAGTCTGTGCCAAGTGCAACACCAAAATCATGGGGGTAAGTCCTCTGACTCTTGTCTCTTCCCCAACCAATCTCTCTCCCTCTCCAAGATTGTGGGGTCCCATTAAGAAGCCAAGAAGTGGCTGCTAACAGAGAAAGAACAACTATCTCTCCTACAAGGGACTTGGTTTGCCACCAGTGAACCAGGGAGCAAATGAACTTGGAGAGAGAGAGAGGATGACTTGTCTGGACCACACAGCTTGAAGTGTCGGTGGAGCTTCTGCAAAGCAAGTTCTCGCTTCATAGACTGACCTTGCCATGCACCCACATGGGGCCTTGACCCTTGCATGCTCCTTCGGTAAAGCGACGTAATCCGCAGCTTTGATGGGAGGGTTCAGAATCACAGACAATGTAACCACCTCTCTGATGATTTTGACACAGAACATGGCACCCAGCAGGTGCTACCTGAGTGCGAACACCTCTGCCTCCTTCCCTGGGCCTTTCCTCAGTACGTCCAAGGCCCACCTCCTGAGCTCTTCTGCCCTGCTCCCTGTTGGGGTGCTCCAGCAGTAGCTAGGGCCCAGTGAGGAAGAGGGGGCCCAACTTCCTCTTTGTCCTGAACCTTTGTGACCTGAGCAGAGGCTCTTTCCCCTAGGAAGTGATGCATGCGCTGAAACAGACATGGCACACCACCTGTTTTGTCTGCGCAGCTTGCAAAAAACCCTTCGGGAACAGCCTCTTCCACATGGAAGATGGGGAGCCCTACTGTGAGAAAGGTAGGACCACTATGCTATGGAGGGGGGCCCACGGTCTGGGAGAAAGGGGCAGGTACAGGAAAGTCCTGCCTGTGTCCATTCACATGGAACCATCAGGAGTCTCCAAATGACAGAGTCATACTTTCCTGGGTGGGGGCTGGGTCGATAGCCTTTTAAAAAGTTTTTTATACATTCGATCTCTGTTCCCTTCCCTGCACCAAATATGTGGTTCACAGGCTGGCATCTTGTAACCACTTGGGAAACCTTTCAGATGAGTTTGATCTGGAGTCTGAAAAGGCTTTGGCTTTGGACTTTGTCTTCGGTTCTATTCCAGGCTCCACCTTGGGCTGGCTTTGTAACCCTGAGCGAGTGTTTAAACTTGTCTGAGCTCACTTCCCTCATCTATACAAAGGGACATATGAACACCGGCCTCACTAGCAGGTGTTTAACCAGAGAAAATGTGTAAAGAATCAAACATGTGTAAGTCCCTTTCCCTGCTCCTCTGATGTTCCTTCAGAATCCTGTGACCCCCGCCCCGTCTGAATTCAGAGTTTCTCTGTTCCTCAAAATGCTACATTTTACCTTGGAACTTGGAGTAAATTATAAATTTTGAAGACAAAGCACTCTATTAGAGAATCAGGTGTCCTAGCTAATTAGCCACTTCCTCACTCATTTATTTATAGACTACTTCTCTTTTTCTTTAAAGATTTATTTATTTATTTTAGAGAGAGAGAATACATGCACGAGTAGGGGGAGAAGTAGAGGAGGAGGGGGAGGAGTGGAGGAGAAGGGGGGGGAGAGAGAGGAACAAGTGGACTCCTTGGGGGATCCAGACGTGGGGCTCGATCTCATGATTCTGAGATCATGACCTGAGCCAAAATCAAGAGTCAGGGGTGCCTGTGTGGCTCAGATGGTTAAGTGTCTGCTTTTGGCTCAGGTCATGATCCCAGGGTCCTGGGATGGAGCCCAACATCGGCTTCCTGCTCAGCAGGGAGCCTGCTTCTCTACTGTTCCCCCTGTTTGTGCTCTCTCACTCTCTGTCAAATAAATAAATAAAATCTTAAAAAAAAAATTGAGAGTCAGATGCTCAACTGACTGAGCCACCCAGGGGCTCCCATAGACTGCCTTTTTCAGAAAAGGATTTGAGGCATTGTCCAACAAAGTTACCATAGATAGGAAGGTTAAGGTCATAGAACTAGCACCAAATAGAAGAAGGAAAAGCAAGCATGTTGATTATGAAGAATAACAGAGCAACAGTGAATGAGCAGCAAGTCTGAGGGCAAAAAGAGAAACACAGTAAGTTAGTATACTTTAAAATCAGAAAGGAGAAAACATTCCAGTTCCTCCAGAGGAAAAGCAAAGCTAACTAAAACTATTCTCCCCTGACAACAGATTATGAAAGAAAAATTTCTTGAGTTCTTATATATGGGTGAGATCTCTTCCCAGCTCTTATTAATTGAATGATTTAGTTACTTGGTCACTCCATGCCTCAGTTTCCATATCTGTAAAAGGGAGAAGATAAGCATCTCTTTTCCTTTCTTGTGAGTGTATAATGATAATTGTTAGATAATTAGCAGATAATTGATAGATGTGTGTTCGTGCCAGTACAAATTGCTATTACTGGGGCACTTGGGTGGCTCAGTCGATTAAGCATCTGACTCTTGGTTTCAGCTCAGGTCATGATCTCAGGGTCATGAGATGGAGCCCCATGTCAGGCTGATCACCTGGGGATCACCTGGGAAACTTTAAAGATATAGAAGATCAGTTCCCAGATGTTCAGATGCAGAATTTCATCACCCTACCCCCACCCGTATGATTCTATATTCAGTTAAGTTTGAGAATCGAGGCATGATCCTAAGACCAGCAATATCAGGATCACAGAAACACAGATCTTTGGGCCCCACCCCAGATGCGCCGAATCAGAAACTCTGAGGGGGTGGGGTCCAGCAGTCTGTGTTTTAGGGAACCTTCAAGATGATTCTAATGTTTGAAGATCCACGGCTCTCTGAAAGCACTAAGCCCTTTTTCAACAGAAAGTAACTGTGATTTGATGGATAGAAACCCTTTTACAATAGCAATAAAATCCATTAAATACAGGGTACAAATTCAACTTGGGGCATAAGAGAGTTAGTCAAAGAAAATTATAAAGACCTAATAGAAGAAATAAAGTAAGAAATAAATACATGAGGAACTAGATTATATTCATGGTGGGAAAGGCCCATGCACAAACTTAATTGTAATTATATTCTCTTTTTTTTTTTTTTTTTGATAAATGATGAAATACGTGAACTTTTAAAAAAATGTATTAGGGTCAAGACCAGTGCTACCAAATTTTAAAACAAGGTGGCAGTTCCCCAGATCATACAAAATCAAGTATAAAACAGAAAAAACAATCAGCAGGCAAGACTAGACATTCTAGGGGTGCCTGGGTGGCTCAGTTGTTAAGCATCTGCCTTCAGCTCAAGTCATGATCCCAGGGTCCTGGAATTGAACCCTGCATCAGGTTCCCTGCTCCGCAGGAAAGCCTGTTCCTTTTCCACTCCCCCTGCTGTGTTCCCTCTCTCACTGACTGTGTCTCTCTATGTCAAAAAAATAAATAAAATCTTAAAAAAAAAAGACTAGACATTCTATTATAAGAGTTTAATGTTAGGCTGCACAGCAAAAGAAGGAATCAGTATTTAGTAAGGTTTTCTTAACCATTTCTTTGTTTTTCCATTTATCATTCATCCATCAAATCTGTGCCAATTCCTCTGAAAGACACTGAGCATTAGGAGTGGGTCTCTGCCCTCAAAAACCTCAAGCGGACACATCATCCTGGGATATGCCAACTCATAAATGGATAGTTAAGAGATATTGACTGAATGAATGAATGGAGTGAGAAGGCAGGGAAGCCCAAGAGAAGCTCTCAGGAAGGCCATCTCATCTCTCTTGGTTAGGGTGGAGGATGAGGATTTCCCAGAAGGAAGTCCTGGCCCACAGGATCACAGGTAGACAAAGTGGGGAGGGTTTTCCAAGCCCAGGATCTGGTTCATACACAGGCATGAGGTAGATGAGAGAGTCCAGGGCAGGAGGAAACTATAAGGTATAAGGAGAGAGAAGGCAGAAGTGGGATTCAGGGCTTGCCCTCCCACGGAGATGGGGTAGCCTATGGCCCTGTTTCTCACCCACATGACTTCCTACAGAGCACGGAGTGAACCATAAACCTGCTCTAAACTTGTAGAGGAACCAGAATGATGTTTTTAGTTCTGGTGAGAAATTAAGGGTTCTGTCAGAGATGGGCTTCACAGACCATGACACAGAGAACAGCATTTGCATGACAAACCATAATTAAACACAAAAGGGGAAACCGTACATTGGAAAATATATCCAAGAGATATAACTTATCAAAGCTCAATGGCAAAGAGATAAGGAGACCACGTGAAGTCATGGAAAGAGGATGAACTTTGGAGTCCATGAGGCGGGCTCCTTCCTGCCAGGTGACGGAAACTCAACAGCCAGTTTCCTCATCTTTAAAGTGGGAATAATATTTCTTTACAAAGCTGCTGGGAAGATTACACAGGAAACTTAGAAAAGCACTAGTATTGGACTGGTGCTGAGTAGGCGCTGGACTCACGTTTCCTTCTCTCCTTCCGTCATTTATAAAGACATGCAAGTAAGAGCCAAGATTTTTGAGTTTTTGTGCCAAGTACATTCACATACGTTATCTTACTGAATCGGTACAACAACCCCACGACTTAGGTCCTGTAGTTACTTCCTTTCTATATAGGAGAAAATAGAGACATTGAGAAGTTAGGTGACTTGCCCCAAGTAGGAACAATTCCCAAACAGAGCTTGAACTTGAGCTCAGTGCTTTTGTTCTTCAGAACCCAAGTACATAACCCCCCATGGCACACTGCCTCTCAGCATGTGGTCTAAGACGGGGAGCAGGCATGCTGTCCACAAGCAGAAACATGGAAGTTGCAAGGAGAAGCCAACTGTGGCAGAGCTGTGGAGAGACAAGTACACTTGTAGGGGAATGAAGGCTTCGTAAGAGACATCAAACATCTCTCAAAGAATCTGGAAGAGTTCTCCACTGAGGACAGTAGACCTGCTTGCCCCCGGGGCCCAGATGAGACAGTTGGAGCTGGGACCCAGCCTGCTCAGCTGTGTGTCTCAGCTGTATGACTCTGGCGAGCCTCGGTTTCCTTATCCACAAAATAAAACACACATAAAACAGAAAAATAATTATAGTTCAATCTTGGAGGGGTTTTTTGAAGATTGAGTTCATTCATTGATTTGTTGATTCACTGGTTCATCTATTCCCTCATTCAACCCACATGTATGTGTTGGGTACTAACTCGTGTGCCAGGCACTGTGTTGAGGGTGGCAAGAAAACTAGTACATACAAATCCACAGACCATGACATTGAGATTCTAGTAAAGAATACCATCTATGCGAGAATACTTGGTGAACTATAAAGCATTATACAAGCAATACATGGTATTATTATCTCTTTGGTGAGGCAGGGAGGGGGACACATCTTAACATAGTAGCTCAGATATTGTTTCCAGTAGTAAAAATTTGTTATCAGCACAAATGCCCAATGAGAGAAGAATTGCCAAGCAAAGAACATACTATATAACTCCTAAAAATGTTAAGAGCTCTCCTTTCAAGCTATCTGGAAATATGATTTTTTTCTTCTTTTTGGGATTGGTCTGTTTGGGCTGTAAAAGCAGAGGAGAAAATCACCCTGTAGAAAGTTAATGACCGATGTGGAGAGTGTTTGCAAATCAAACCAGCACAGAGTGATAACTAAGCCTGAATCCATAGACCACCTGTGCAAATTATTGAAAAGAAAAAAAACCACAATCATATAGCTGAGCATTTTGTCTGCAAGACAACAAGTAAACCAGTTAGATCATACCCACTGCCCCCGCTCAGTGATTTGTGGTGTGATGTCATTGTTATGGCATCAGGTTGGTGTGTCCAGGATGCTTCTCCCAGCCTGCCTGGATGCCTGGTCCTCATTCTGCCTTTCATTTCAGACTACGTCAATCTGTTCAGCACCAAGTGTCATGGCTGTGATTTCCCCGTGGAGGCCGGTGACAAGTTTATTGAAGCCCTGGGACACACCTGGCATGATACCTGCTTCATCTGCGCAGTATGTGATTAGCTGGGGCTGGGGGTTCTGACTTTCTGAGAAGGGGCGAGAGGGACCCAGTGGGGCCAGGTGATCAACTGTCTACATCCCTTTCAACTCTGGTGCTCTGATAGTCTGATCATTTTTAAAAGCTGGCAAGTACCATGGTGTCTGGATATGTCACAGTCAAGCCAAGTTTATTACTAATAATTACTTCTAAACCAGTGTGGCTTTTGTTACTCTCCATTTCACTAAGGAAAAGAGTACTCTCCCAGGATCTGTCATACCAGCAGCTTGCCTCACTAGCAATGCTCTCCATCATTGGAAGCAGTGAATAATAAAGCAGGGGGGTTTCCTCTGATTATAAGTTGCTTTAAATGTGATGAAGTGTTTCAAGGATTTTCCCCAAAATTTGCACCAAGAAACACTAGTTTGGAGTTTTTTGACTCATTCTATGAAAGGCTGAGATAGGGCTTCTTTTGATAGACTCTTTAGGAATCGGGGCTATCATTTTATTTTCTAAATGGTCTTGTTCTTGATACATAGTTGCCAGAGATAAGCCCTACATAACTGTTAACCATGTGCCATCTATTTCTTCCAAACAGCCAAGTGGTTTTTCCCATGAAATTGGCATTTTCCTTATGAGGGCTTCGGGTTGGGGAGGGGACACAGCAATGAGTTCACTGACATTAAGACTCTGCCTTACATCTAGGAAATATTCATCCCTGAGAAAGGCCTGTGATGTGAGTCTGCAATTGACTGAATTTATTTGGGAAAATTAATGTGCTGCTACCACTTTTGTTTTGTTTTGTTCTGTGTTTTGTTTTGTTTTGTTTTACAAGTGCTGCTCAAGGTAAAGTGTGGCCATGTGTCAAATATCCATGCAGTTTCCACTTGAACCATTTTTGATAGGCTTATAATAGAGGAAACACACATCATAAAGTTTACAGCAACACACGTCAGTGTCTACACCACTCCCACACTCCACGGTGCGTGGAGTGCACTGTGTTGACTCTGAGTGTGAGTTTGCCAGGTCTGCTGTAACAATGGACCAAAACCCGGTGGCTTCAACAACTGAAATAGACTGTCTCATAGCTTTGGATGCTAGAAGTCCACAGAGGGGCTGTGCGTTCTCCCTGAGCTTTGGGCGGTTCCCAGCAATCCTTGGTGTTTTTTTGAATCGTAGTGGCAGAACTTCAGTCTCGGGCTCCGTGGTCCCCTGGCAGCCTGCCCTATGTGTGTCTGTGTTTCTGCATGGCACCCTCTTCTGTGTGTGTCTGTCTCTATGTGCTTCTCCTTTTCTTTTTTTTTTTTTAAGGTTTTTATTTCTTTATTGGAGAGAGTGAGACAGGGATAGTGAGAGAGAGCAGGAGCAGGGAAGAGAGGGAGAAACAGGCTACCTGCTGAGTGGGGAGGCCCGGTGCGGGACTCAAGCCCAAGACTCTAGGATCATGACCTGAGCTGAAGGCATTCGCTTAACCAGCTGAGGCACCCAGGCACCCAGCTTCTCCTTTTCTTATAAGAACACTGGTCCTATTGGATTAATGACCTCATCTTAACTTACACCTTAATTATATCTGCAAAGATCCTGCTTCCAAAGAAGGTCATTGGTGTGTCCCTGTGCCAAGTAGATTGAAGGTACAGGGAGTATCTTCCAGCATATGAATTCGGGGGAGGAAACAACACAATTCAATCTAAACACTCCAATTTTCTAGCTTTTGGAATAGATTTTCTAATTGCCTTTTAGGGTCCTTTGAGTACATCAGGTCCTTCCCTCTGAAAAGGGACAGCGATGTGAATATACTGGCTTTCCGGTTGTCTCCCACAGAGCCATGGCTCAGCAAGGCACATAGGGCCCTCTGACCCCTGCATTCAAGCCGTGGCTTGTCTAATCCTAAGACACTGCCTGCAAGTCTGGTTGCCCAACTTCTAGAAGGACCCAAGAGACTTGGAGAAGGTCCAGGGCAGACTGTGGCACAGAAGGCCTGTTCTCTAAGGGCGGGCTGATGAGAGGTGTGTGTCACATGGAGAGGGTACCATGGAAAAGGTGAGCATGGGTCTGCTCCCTTGAGCTCACTGAGTTTGGCTGAGAGTCACAGTGGCACAAATCCCAAAGAGAGAGAGCAGAAGAAGCAATAAAGCATAGGGTTGTTCAGGCCAAGATTATAAATAAGTTCTGGCAAGGTGTGAGAGACCCATAGCACTGCGAAAGGGTCTATGCAGAGAAACCAGGCAAGTCCTGTCCTTTGGAGAATTGGCATGGTGAATCATCATGTCTTCCTCCAAAGTGGCCCTGTGTGGCACTCACTGCCCTGTTAAGATACAGTGAAGTGGAACATGGTTTTGGTTTTAATTTTTGGAAAGCAATCTTTTGATTGGAAAACTGATGGTTGGGGGGGGGAAGGGAGTCCTTTTCCATCACTTTTTATTTCTTTTTTTTTTTTTAAGATTATATTTATTTGTCAGAGAAAGAGCACAGTAGGGAGAGCAGCAGGTAGAGGGAGAAACAGACTCCTGCTGAACAAGGAGTCAGATGCGGGACTCGATCCTAGGACCCTGGGATGCTTAACTGGCTGAGCCACCAGGCATCCCATCATCACTTTATATTTCTAAATCCTCTTTGATGCGTATATTTTCTTATAATAATTAAAAAAAACCTAGTAAGAAAGGAAAATCAGAACTAGCTCTCCCAGCTGATGAGCTGTTTTCCCGTCAGTTAGATCTCAGGAGAACACATAACTTTAGGCGAATTCAGTTTACCAAATATTGCTTGAGTTTGGAGGACATAAGAGTATCCCACGGGGCGCCTGGGTGGCTCAGTGGGTTAAGCCTCTGCCTTCAGCTAGGGTCATGATCTCAGGGTCCTGGGATTGAGCCCTGCATAGGGCTCTCTGCTCAGTGGGGACCCTGCTTCCCCCCTCTCTCTGCCTGCCTCTCTGCCTACTTGTGATCTCTCTCTCTGTCAGATAAATAAATAAAATAATCTAAAAAAAAAAAAAGAAAAAAAAAGTATCCCAGAACAAATCTCTACCTTCAAGGAGTTTGGAATCTTGAAAGGAAACAAAGTTGAAATTTATAAGCGATTAAAGAATAGAACAAGATAGCCTCTCTAAAGTCCCAAGCACATGAATTGATGGCTGAGATGGGGCCCCGAGTTGGTTCATTCAGTTAAGTGTCCAACTCTTGCTTTCAGCTTGGGTCATCTCAGGGTCTTGAGATGGAGCCCTGTATCGGGGTCTGTGGTGAGCATGGAGTCTGCTTAAGATTACCTTTTCCTCTTCCTCTGCCCCTTGCTACTTGTTCTCTCTTTCTAAAAAAATAAAAATAAAAATAAATAATAATAATAAAATGATGGTTGAGAAGGGCTGTGTGGGTTGGGGTGAGGGGTTAAGCTCCTATCTGGCTTTGGCACTTGAGTTCCAATGGAAAAGATATGGGGCCTATCTTTAGTGGTAGTGGATAAAGTGGCCCCTCTTTTCCTTTAAGTCTTGTTGGGTCTCCAACCCTTCCCCACTGGTGTGGGTATCAGGAGGGGAAGGCAGCAGTCCTAGTGGCTCCTTCAGCTGGCCGATGTCCTTGTCTCCCAGCACCATCCATGACTCCTTCCCACACAGACTCCAACCCACCAAGTGCCTTGATGACACTTGACCATGGAGCCTGGGGCTTGAACCATCCCTGTTGTGCCTGAGTAGTCTGGAGACCTCTACCAGGAAGCCACCATGTATCCCACATAGAGTGTCTTAGCCCAGGACACTGAACACAACCTTTCTGTGACATTTTCTGCCCTCAGCTCCATCTTATCAATGAGCCACCCCTGAGGATCTGGCCCTTGCTCACTTCTGGGCCTTTAGTCTCCCAATATACTCTCCAACTTATCCCACAGTTCTCACAAGTAACCAGCACTGTCCCAGACTAGGCAGAGCCCCAGATGTTGACAGGCAGCTCCTTGACAACTCACTCCAGAGCTGCCTTTCTATCTCCATGAAACCCATCCTCACTGTTGGATCTTGGGCTTGTCTCCACATCTTCACCAGCAGCTTGAGGCCACCCCAAGAGCCTGGTTACACTCAACATCACTGCCTCCACCTGGGATGTTTCTGGTCACTTTTTTACACCATTGTTTCCTAGGGCCCATTGTCAGCCTGTGTAATCCTGAGTATTACATTCTCAACTGGCCCACGAGGGACCACTGTGATGCTGCTTTTCTTTCCAGCTGTCTTCGAGTGGTCGCATGCTCACTGAGCTAAGCTCATCTCAAGAGGATGATTTCTCTATCTTCATGCCTTCTGTATATGGGAACTCTACCTGCTGCCCTTCTCCTCCTCCTTCTTCTCTTTTAGTGGGGGGACAGGCAGAGAGAGAGAGAGAGAGAAAGAGAGAGGGAGGGAGAATCTTAAGGAGGCTCCACACCCAGTGTGGAGTTCAACATGGGGCTTGATCTCATGACCCTGAGATCATGACATGACATGAAATCAAGAGTTGGATGCTTCACCAACTGAGCCATCCAGGCGCCCCTACTTGCATGTCTTCTGATGTCCATGTCCTGGGTGTGATGCCTACTTCTTCTGTTCAGTGCTGTCTATGACCCTGGGGCCCATCCCAGCCAAACTGACTTCCCAGCTAACTCTGACACCTTGGCCTATTGCCCACCCAGGGCCAGCCTATGTATTGGTAGTCCAATAAACTTGGAGGATACCTCAATACAAGTCCTGTAAGCCCAGAACAATTTTAAGTAAGCATAGCCCCTCTCTGCAGTGTGGTGAGTGGAAGATGAGCTAGAGCTGGAGTCTTGCAGACCTGGACACCAAGTTCCAGCTCTACAACTTGCTAGGTCTCTGACTTAAACGACACACTTAGCTCTGTGAACTGCAGTTTTCCCTTATGAAATGGGGACAAGTCATACCTTCCTATAACTTTTTGTGGGGATTAAATGAGATCACGTGTATACAGTGTCTGGCCTCCTGCTTCACCCACAGTAGCCTCAACATACGTGACTGAGCTTTCTTCTCTCTGTGATGTCTCCATCTTCAAACTGCACTCATATGTTGTCATCATGGGGACATATCAGTTTGCCTCTTTTTTCTTTCATATAATGTCTCCCTGCAACGCTTTTCCGTATTGGATTGATTGTTTTCATGGTGACATTCCATTGGAGAATGTACTGTAGGAATCTACTTAGTCATCTTCCTATAGAGAGGCATTTTGGTGATTTTCAGTTTTGGCTTGAGCACACATTGTTCCTTGCAATAGTTTCTGCAGGATGAACCCCTCCCAGGTGGTACTGGGCAGGCACATCTTTACAGTTCCTCTCTGGTATTGTCACACCCCCTACACAAGGCTGAGCTGATTCACCAAGCTGTGTCCTTAGCAATGCATGAGTAGGCATTGTTGAGTGTTGATTGGTACTTTTTTTTTTTTTTGGTCTTTTTGCTTTTTAGCTAGTCTTCTAAGGTTAAAGGTAACATGTGATTGAAGGTTTTTTTGTTTGTTTTATTTATTTTGTTAGACTAATAGATACCTAGGGGTCTCTCATGGAGGCTTTAATTTATTTTTCCTTTAAATATTAGTGAGGATAATCTTTTCTGATATGTTTTGTTAGTTTCCTAAAGGTATTTTCTTGGATGTTAATCACCCCCGTGGATATTGACTCATGGTTTTGTACTGGTTTCTTGTAAACTTTGGATAGCATTGATGGATCATCTTCATGTTGTGTATTTTTTGTGTGTTCCATCTCATTTCATTTGAGATTAGTTCTGTGTTCCTTTTTGGGAGTCTTAAATGTTATGTAGTTCGACTGTCTACTCTGCTTACATCATTAAGCATTTGTGGTGGGGAGAGCTAGGCCCTGCCTCATGCCTGTCTGTCCTCTGTCCCAGGTCTGCCACGTGAATCTGGAGGGGCAGCCTTTCTACTCCAAGAAGGACAGACCCCTGTGCAAGAAGCACGCACACGCCATCAACGTGTAGGGAGCCCGGAGCGTCTGATGCGGACAGGCCGGGAGCCACTCCTGCCGCTGGCAACAAAGGATTCAAGGAGGCTGATGTTTCTTTTGGGGGAAAGGGGGAAGACAGGAAGCTACTGAGCCCTTTTGAAGTGTAATTTTAGTCCTTCCTTCTGCACACAGATCGTGTATTTGCATAGTTCAGACTAGAAGCCAAATGAAGATTCCTCAACCAAGCTAGTAATTAATCCAAGGCTGGAGTGGTAATTCAAATGTTCAGAACAGAATTCCAAGAACTCCAAAGTGAAAAACAAAAAAAGTCATGTTCTCGAAGTGACACCCTTCCCTGAGGTCACCAGAGCAGGGACAGAGCTCAGGGTGCTGTTGGAGACTCTGGAGCGTGCTGTGGAGTTCTCTAGAGCTTGTCTGGCAAGCAGACCCAAGTGCCAAACAGTACTCGCTGTGGGGTATTTTTAGAGCCATAGCTGAGGGCTTGTTAGCTGAGACCGATTGGGCTTTCCTCGCCAAAAAAGGAAGTGTTATTCCGTTACTAGCGTCACGGAGCCACCTCTGCGCATCAGACTTCAGACCTGGAACAGAGTTGAGCGTTCCGAGGGAGTCCAGGCGTCTAGGAGGTGCCTTCTGGGAGCCGCGGGGCGGTTGACAGGGCTTTAGGAAGGGCTCTGGCTCACGTCTAAGACATCCTATGTCCCCAGAAGGTTGAGCTCCTTTTTGAATTGTGATGCGAAAGTGGAATTGGGTTTTTCCAGTTTTGCTTTGCTGTGTGTGAGAGGAGATTTTAAAGTGACTCTGGGTTGCGTCTAGCCTTTGTTTTGCTTTATAAAGTTCGTGAGCATGAATGTCCAGGCTTATGCATGTTTTTCTCTCCCAATCCTGGGACGGCTCACTTATGAAGTCTTCCTCAGCACCCCTCCCCCCAACAGGCATGATGACCTGTGGACAAGAAGAGAGAGACGGTGTCTGAAACAGGATGGCAGACTAGGCTGGGAATATGCCCGAACTCTGCATGGGGAGAGGAGCCTTACTTTCTGCCAGCCTCAGTAAGAATGCCGGTGTTGGCAGGACCTCCCACCTCAGACCTGCACCAGGCTTCTCAAGGGTTCCTTTCAATGCAGTGCACTGATTACGTGCCGGGGTGTCGACTGTTGGGAGGAGAAGAGGGACTGATACGGTACTCATTTGCCATTCGGGCCCATAGTTTGACAATGGATGAGCTGAGTTGATCTAGAACTTGTTTAAGTACTTATTGAAATAGTCTTGGGTCTTCAAACTTCTTTGAACATTAGTGATAGTTTGAGTTAAGTAAGCATTTTAAAGCTGTTAGGTGACAAAAAGAGAAGCTTAGTTTCTGAGCCTGGAAATGGTACATTCTCTTTCCCTTCCGGAAGCACTGTTATTATGCTCATGGAACAAGGCATGGAAGCAGGCAGTCTGAGGAGGAGTTTTTCACTTGAACACAATAGTTAGGCACTCTTCCAACTCACTGCTACTCTCTCCTCACTCCTGTTTTGGATTTTTCTCTTTGCATGTTTTACGAGAATACATTAGAACATTTTTTTTCTTCCGAGAACTGAGGCTTCCAGGGGACTGTCTTTCTCCCTGAGTGTGTTCCTTCTCCTTGAGGGAGAAAGAAGCAGCAGGATGCGGCCCTAGCAGGAGGCCCGTGTTTTTTTCCAAGGGTGAAGCTGTGTCTCGTACATAATTGTGCTCTTGCCACCGGGCCCTTCTTTACCTGTGGTGCAGTAAGAAAGTGAATCTTAAGTACCAAACCGTAGAATCTGCTGGGAGTGACTGGAGATTTTTCAGGAGTCGCAAACAAGTGGAGCATTCTGTTATTTTTGGAAAGTTCAAATATATAGGTATAAGGAGGTTGTTGGTTGTACAGAAAATCTCTAGACAGGTTTTCTCTTAAAGCAAAAATGAAAACAAAAACACGTTTTCAGGGACTGGTCTAGAGGAAAGGAAAAACAGTTCCCAAGGGTTAAGTTTCCAAAAATATCTTTTAAAAGGGGTTAGGCGCAAATGGATGCGCACATGCTTGTGCGATCATTAAAAAAGTACATGATCATTAAAAAAGAAAAGTGAAGCATCTCAAAGAAGGACTTCATCATGGTCATTTACTGAATCGGTTTTTCTACATCTCAGAGAGAGCGAGTGTCGATTCTGAGGGACTCTTTAATTTACCAAAACACACACACAAAAACCATTTTAAAGGTAGTAGGAGAAGAGGATAGTTTTGAATATGGGGTTCCCTCGGTGTTTGCAAGTTTGGCGTAGCTTTGAGGATAAGATTGTATCTATTTCAAGTTAACATCAGGACTGTCCTAGGACACCAAACAATTTCTAATAGTTCCTGGTGGGGAGTACACTTTGGATCTATAGTTCTGGTGTCCTCATTTTTGACGTTTATTTAACACTTATAAACACTTATAAACTTTTTGCAATGGAGTGATTTATGTCTGCAGTGTTTGTGTTAGGAATCTAGCTTTTATAATGTTAGCTTTTCAACTCAGGTACTTTTGCTTTGGGATTTTTTTTTTTTCCAAGATTTCAAAAGTGGAAAGTAGTGTGATAGAGGTGTGCACAAAAATATTTTGCATGTTTGTTTGGTTTGGGTTTTTTGTTGTTGTTTTTTTGCCTGTGTGAGTTCTACTTTTTAGCACAATAAAACCTAAAAAAGGATGAGCAAATACAGATTTTTCTGTGTAAAGTTTTTTCACATGACACCAAAACTAGATTATTTCCATACAAATGAAAAAAAAAGTTTAAGGCAAAACAAAATGTCCTACGGAGAAGAAGCTCGAATAACTCACTTGCTCTGTTGGGTGTGTGGTCCAACAGCAGTTTAATTGCTTTGTTTAAACAGACAAGGATATGTGAATAGTACAAATGTTTTGCATACAAAGGGAATTTACCAGGTAAATAATAAAGTGAAGACCAGGCTTTGCCTTTTCTTTTTGGAAAAGTTTATTTATTTAGCTACTAGGTGATTAAATATTTCGGATTTATTTATTTTTATTCTGTTCTAAATGGCTTCATTTCCAGAAAAGTTGGTATATTTTCTTCCATGTCTTTCGTTTTGAAATAAGCTCAGAGAAAAACCCTCTCATGGCACTTTTTTTCTTTTTTAGTAAGGAAGGCCCTTCTGAGGATACTATGCTTAACGAAACCAATTCCCTCTTTGTTAAGGTATTCTGTTTCCAGGCATTACTTGAAAAGAAAGAGAAAATGTTTATAATTTATTTTATTTTTTTAGTACCTCAATCAGATTTTGAAAGAGCTGTGCGATTGCAAGAAGGAATAAGATATTATTTTAGCACTTTTCAAAGCTGTAGCAATTTAGATTGGGGAAAGAGAAAAAAAAAAGGAGTCTCATAGAGTCATAGAATGTAAAGTTGGAAGGAATCTAAGAAATCCCCTGGGCACTTTCCAGATGTGGAAACCGAGAAAGGGGAAATAGCTTCCCAGTACATTCGGTTGTCTGGGGAAGCAGCTGGGGGCCATGCACTAAACATGGACTTTGACATGTTAAGACCAGGGCTTAGATCAAGGTGATCTAATATCATCAGGGTGATACTGGCAGACCAACTCTCATCCCTCCTGAGAGTGAAGGTACTGATACCTGCCTCACAGGTGTTTTGAGAGCTAAATGCAATAGCTTTTGTTAGAAATTACAACACAAATGTTAGTGACCATTATCACCAATGGAGTAGGTGAGAACTGAGCCCAAGGTCCTCACTCTTCCTTGATTTTCTTTTCTTTTCTTTTTTTTTTTAATTTGTTTTCAGCGTAACAGTATTCATTATTTTTGCACCACATTCCTTGATTTTCTTAACTCCTTGAATGTGTTCATTCAGAAAAAAATGCTTTGGGAAAACTTGAAGCAAGAATAAATATTACACAAGGAGCTGGGAAATATGAACCACCTGGATGAGAATTTGGTAGAATTACCTTGTGGTAGAATTTCTGCCCTTTTCACAGAAGAAAAATTGTTTATTCATTTGTTCATTCATTCATTCTTTCAACCGATATTTATTGAGCACCTGCTCTATTCAGGCGCTGGTCTGGACACTGGGAAAATAATAGTAAATAAAACAAACAAAAACCACTCTTCTCATGGAACTTAGATTCTAGGGGTTTGGAATCTGCAAAACAAGATAATAACTAACTTATGTTGGACTAGTTCTGAAGCGAAACAGTTGACTATTGGAAGCCGCTCTACAGGCTAACCACTGGCATTCATCCGGACTCAGGCTCCTTCATGACAAAGATGTGGCACGAAGAACAGGTTCTGGATCAAATCATAGGAAAGGGCTGCATACGCTGTTCATTCTAGAGAGTCACGGTATACATACGTGAACTGCATGAGTGCCCAGTCCCCAGGAAAGAAACTTGCTTCATTTAATTTAGCACAGAATGTGGAATTCCAATTTTGAAAACACCTCTTAAAGTTTGGGTTTAGGCTTTCCAGGTTCTAGCTTTCCCAGGACAATCCTGACCACGTTAAGAATTTTTCTCCATGTTCCACTCACACACTTCAATCATCTCAACAACTTGGGCAATGTATGTTTCTGTTGTTTTTGAACAGATTTAATTTTCAGAGCAGTTTTAGGTTCACAGCAAAATGGAACAGAAGGTACACAGGTGGCCCAAATTCTCCTTGCTCCAACTCACTCATAGCCTCCCCCATTATCAGCAACCCCCACCAGAGTGGGACGTTCATTACAATTGCTGAACCCCTACTGAGGTGTCATTATCACCCAGAGTCCACAGGTTACATTAGGGTTCACTCTTAGTGGGTTTGACACACTCACATGCCTCGGGTTTGAGCAAATGTATGACGACATCCCGACGTCATACAGAGTTGCAGTAAAAGCCCTCTGTGTTGGGGTGTCTGGGTGGCTCAGTGGGTTAAGCCTCTGCCTTCGGCTCAGGTCATGATCTCAGGGTCCTGGGATCGAGCCCCACATCAGGCTCTCTGCTCAGCAGGGAGCCTGCTTCCCCCACCTCTCTCTCTGCCTCTCTGCCTACTTGTGATCTCTCTCTGTCAAATAAATAAATAAAATCTTTAAAAAGAAAAAAAAAAGAGCCTTCTGTGCTGTACCTACTCACCTCTTCCTCTCCCCTAGCCCCTGACAACCACTGATCTGTTTACTGTCTCTATAGTTTTGCCTTTTCCGGAATGTCATAGAGTTGGAATCACACAGTATGTAGCCTTTGTAGGCTGTTGGCTTCGTTCACTTAGTAATATGCATTTAAGTTTCCTCTAGGTCTTTTTATGGTTTGCCGCTTCATTCCTTTATAGCACTGAATAATATTCCAGCAATATATCTTTTCATTCCACGAACATTCAGTGAGTGGCTGGGCTCTGGTGTAGGGATGGAGGGTGTACAATCCAGACAAGGTTCCTGCTTTCACTTTCAGGGACAAGACAAGCAATAAGCTAGTATACATCATCAGTATAATTTGAGGCAGTGAGTGCTACAGGAAAATAAAACAAGAGCGTGGTGTTGGGGGCCACAGTAAGCTACTTTTGGCTGGGTAGTCAGGGAAGACCTTCTTGGAGATAATATTCGGGCTGAAGTCTGAATGATGAGAAGAAAACCATACCAAAGTCTGAGATAGAGTGTTTCAGAAGGAGGGAAGAATACATGTGGAGGCTTTCAGGGAAGGATTTTGGCACAGGGAAGTCCCAGGCTTGAAAGTACAACTAAGGAGAGGGCAGTAGGAGAGGAGACGAGGAGCACAGAGGACATTGTAGGTCTCAGTAAGACATGCCACATAATACTTTCAAATGCCTG